CACTATAACAAACAAAATAGGTAGGTAAGCCAGGTAGCATAAACCAGTTTTCTAAGAAAATTGCAACCTCTGCCGCTCAGGCGGTGCCGTCTACCCGGCCACGTATCTGTACTGTGGCGTCAATATTTCTCCATTTCTCATTGATCCAATTTCAAAACGAACGACAACATTTATATTATATTAATTTACATTGCATATGGATATATCATAATATATATTCATTTTTTTTGAAACCATCAAATACTTTCAACGTTTTATTCTTTTTGCTTTTCATAATGTCCATTTTTATTAAATTGAAAAAAAAATTGTTAACTGTAGACTGCATGTAGAGTAACTTCAAACATCGTGCGTAAGATTTTCGATCTTCCATACACAGGCTGCTAGTATAATATTATATTAGTGAACATATTATTATCTGCTACATCGATCAATAAAAGATTAATACTTATCTTTAAATTGTACTACCGATCCAGTGCCCAGTCCGCAATTTACATATATAGTATATATGAATATGAGTATAATATGAGTATGACCTTTTTTAGGGGACGCAATTTACATAGAAAAAGTACATTTATCCATTTTCTGACCCATTTAAAATGATAAGTTTGACCTCAATATTTTTTTTGTGGGCAACTGCATTCTTGGGACTCCCCCCCCCCCCAAATGCCGCCATCATGGACACATCGTTTGTACAACCAATTGCCAATACATTCATCATCACTACTCTACGCTAAGAATCTATAGGCAATAAATATAAGTGCTTAACAATTATATTATTTATATTTTAGATTGTATCTTTAACCTTGCTGCAGGGTAAAAGAAATAGCGGGTCGCTCACGCTCGTGCATAATATACAAGTTACCGGCTTGGCGAATATATGGAGTTGTGCGCGTGAACGGTAAACAATTTATGCTCATTTAGTAATTGGTGTGTGTTTTTTAGGTAGTTTTGATGGGACATTTATAGGGTTGAATACTTGAATAGAACAAATTCACTTTAGCTACCTATCACGAATTCAAACATTTTTTTAAAAGAAATTAATATATGTTTCAACAAGTTAAGAACGATCGAGATGGTGCCAAAAAAATTGGCGGAATTCAATATTTCGGAAGGTATGTTCTTCGATCATGAGCGTTTGTACACTTTACGACCATAATTAATATATTATGTACCTACCTACGTATAATATTATAAGAATTTATTATGAACAAATCTAAATTAGCACCCACGCTAATTTTTCAAATTTTTTTTCGAAACCTTTATATTACAACGAGTTAATAAGAAGGACGTATCCGAGTTGGGTCCAAGATAACATTTATGATAAAAGTAAACAACTAATTAGGTCCGTCCTTAAAACCGATAATATACTAATTGGGTCCGATTATAAAAACTGTAACTTACAAGTATTGTTATATACAATATTGTTAAAAGTAGGTATATGTATATGTATAAAAATATATAGCCAATATTCACTCAATAGCAGTATTCCAAATGTTGAACGTTATATAATGCCAGTAACTTTAAATTCAAATCCAGTTGTACACACTGTGCAATTTTACATTTCATTGATGTTCCAAGAACATCTCACGAGGACATGTAACATCACCATACGTGTTGCTTGGGCGTTACGGCAACATCGCTGTGCTTGCTAATGACCGTACTAATTTCACACTCAAAATACGTTATCTTTATGTTTCCTTAAATCATACCATATACGTTGCTTCGAAATATTACCAGCACGTTACATTTAACCATCGTGTGTATGTTTTCATTAAATGTTGTATATATGTTCCCTTGAATCATATCATTTATGTTGCTTCAAAACATTACCAGAACGTTACCTTTTAAGCCCGGATTAAGGGGGAGGGGGGTCCAGGGGGGGCATGGCCCCCGGGCCTCCATTTATTTAGGGGCCTCAGATTTGTCCATTATAGGCTATAACAACTCATAAATCACTTTAAAAAAATCGATGATTATTTAGCGAGGAAAAAAGCTTGTAAATTATAATTTATAAATAAAATGATACTTAATTCTTGATTTATTGTTATGTACCTAATACCTATATATATTTATTATAACAGGTACCTATATATTAATATACATTATTTTTTTTTTCGTACAGGGGCCTCATTTAAACTTTGGCCCCTGGGCCTCAAAATGTCTTAATCCGGGCTTGGTTACCTTAAACCAACGAAACTATGTTTCCTTTGATCCTCACATATATTTTTTTAAGCCATCATATAGTTTCCATTTCAAATGAAATTTATACAATTATAATATGAGTTGATTTAGGGTAGTATGTTTTGTCAAGTACCGATTATGCTAGGCAAATAATAACAAGTCTCAGAAAATGTAAATATTTTTCATTGGCGTATAAATGTTGAAATAACTTCATAATACATGGATAGACAACATAAATTCAATACAATGTTTAATTAAATCATTAGATACATCCCACTGCAGTGTTTTTGAAAGGAAATATAATAAATTAACAAAATACACAGTTATACAGTTTATAAATATTTGTATTTTTATTAGGTATGCAATTATGCAAATATAAATAAACAACTTATTGCTAGATATTTGAGATTATAATAAATACAAATTACAAATACAGAATAATTTACTACAAATTTAAAATGCAATGCATATACATTTTGTTACCTAAGTGTTAATATATTAATAAGACTTATCAATAAAAGAATGATTTAATGTTGTAATTATAGCTTTATCGTTTGATAAATAAATAAAAAAACATTTATATTTTATGTCAGAAATATTAATTTTGAAGTTGTCAGATAAAATAATAGGGTTTACAGTATATAAGCCAATAGTGGAAGACACAATTGGCTCGGTAAAAAGAGAGGAAGTATTCAAAAATTTTTGAACAATTAGATTGAAGCCTAATTCATTTTGTGGCTTAATAATATTGTTCACAATTACAATATCGTTATTGTTTAACATTATATATTTGTCACGTTTATTATGAATATTTATAGTAATTTTCAGTTTTTTAATAAAAATTTGTTTAAATAATCTGTCAGCTAAACAATAAAAAGTAGAAGTTGTTGTGTTAACAATCTCTTTAACAATAATAATAGGATCAAGTTTTATATCACTCGAGATAAAATATTTTTGTTTTTCCATAATTCGGTTAGTAACTTCCTGAAGAGGATATTTAGCGCTTTTTACTGATTTTTTTATATACTGTAGATAATTCTCATATTTAAAGCAACTGAAATTGTCAAGACAGCCGTGTACTTTAACATACATTGGAAGATGTAATAAACTATGCACATTATAAGTCACAAAGTGAGCACCATACAAAGATGAGTACTGAGCTACAAACTCATTCAGTAAGCTTTGTGCTAAATTATTTAAAATTTGGCAGATGTCGGGGGTTATTAGAATTCTTAATGCACATACAAAGAGTTTAAAGTGTGAATACATTTGTTTAATTAAATTTCCTTTTAAAACTACTAACCCAGAATGTATAACAAACATTCTCAATTCAGTAGCTTTATAATATTCTATGTCGTCTAACCCTCTGGGTAAACGACTGAATTCGGATGGTACATACTGTCGTAGATTTAACAAATTATTAGTTATCCTAAATTTATTTTCCTCGATTAATCTTACGTCCTTCTTTCCTTTTACCCAAAACTCTATTAATCGTTTTGTAACACCCAAACAAACATTATGCATATAATCCAAACAAACATCATTTATCATATCGATTGGTAATAATTCAAGAGGGCTACTACCTTTATGATACTCTTCTTGAGTTTTAGATCTAAATGATATATCTGTTCTCAAAGGTGATTCTATTTCTAAAAATGCCATTCTATTATTGATATAAGATCCTTCTTGAGTGCACGAAGTGCATCCAAAGTATGCATTAAAAGCTTTAACATTTAGTAAAAAACTTTTTGCTGGAGAATCGCAAACTATATGGCCTACTTCAAACTGATAAATATTTCCATCAACATTTAAACCACTATTTAATAATATTAAAAGATCAGATAAAAAAGGATTTAAAAATTCATGAATGGATTTTGGTTTTGTATTTCCATGAAATATTCCAATTGGAAGTACATATTCTGATAACAAATTGCAATTAGTAAATTCAATTAAAATCGGCCAAAGTTGGCTTTTAGAACTTCTAGATAATGGAAGACCATCCAAATTAATTCCTATCTTTAAAATTTTATTTGGGGTGTATATTAAAGCATTGAACTTTTTTAATATAGGTAATATCATATTTTCCAAACCCAAATGAATGTACGATCCTTGACCAATATTAGAAATTACATGTGTAGTAGGAGTTTTCATAAGTGTTCGAATATCTTTGGGTACATTAATACCTGCAGATTTAATTATTCCGAGTATGCAATTTGCACTGTTATGTGATACTTTAAACTTCAGTACCCAAGACCTAGTTCATCTTCAATATTAAATGATTCAACTGTTTTAGAACAATTATCATCAGAATCAACGCCACCATAAACATTACAATTAATATCACCTATATCATCATTAAACATATTAGTACATACTTCATCATCAATTAATGTTTCAGATAAGGAATTACTATTTTTTTCAGGAATAGACAATTTAAAGCTTTGATTTAATTCTGCAATTGCATTCATACCAGTCTCTGTAATATTAGGTGTATGCAGATTGGAGTTATTTGATTGAAGATTTCTGTTATTAAGATATTTAGACTTCTGTTTCTCAACGTTCAACATTTTTCTGAAGTACCTAGTGGTCACTTCTCCGATGCATTTTTTTTTTCTACTGATATTCTATTTTTATAAAAATAAACAATAAACATCAATAATATATTATATATGAATATAATTTACTAATCTTAAGTAAAAATTAGATTAATATACTTAATGTACAATCTAAACAAAGAAAAAATAAAGTCCTTTAAAGTAAAATAAACAAAGATCTAGCATAATTTATTGAACAGTATTAAAAAAATTAAATATAAATGGTTAATTTTGTTTGTCCCTTTGAACTCGTGTGTTAGCTCGCCTAAACCATTCAGCAATTTCCCTTTCTATGTCAGAATTCGTAATAGCATTTTTGGAATTTTCTTTTATAACATCTGCATCACAAAATAACAATTATTGATAAACGAACTAGTATGCCACCACATAATTTATGAAATTACTTGTTAATATTTTTATCAGTTCAGCATCTCCTATTTTAGTAATAATATTTTTCCCACGACCAGTCATGGTACATTTGCCGGCATATTCATTTTTGAATAGTTTAGTCAATGATCTTGTAATATGTTCTTTACCATCCCTTCCACCAATAGATCGAATAAAACATTTCTGTAGGAACAATAATATGGAATTAACATACGTTATATTTATATGTGAAAACATATGAAAACAAATGTGGTATATATTTACCAGTTTTGAAGCAAAGCCATTTTCGTTTAATATACAAGTTTCAACTAATAAAAATCCTTCAGCATGAATAAGTGGAAATTTGGATCTAAACGATTCGTCAAGTAGAATAGATTCATCTTTGTGGTTCTTTGATAAAATATTTTCAATGTTAGAGATTTTTATTAAAATTCTATTTAGCATCATTTTCACGGTTGGGTCTGTTTTATTCATACAGAAGAAAATATTAGACAATGCTTAAAATTTAATTTATATATGACTACATTGTATGAAATAAAGGTTAAAGATAAAAAATAAGCTTGAGTTAATTAGGTTATATTAAAAAAGTTAAATTATAGTTAAACTATGAAATATTTAACAATAATTTATCTTTATTAAAATTATTGATACAAATTTTAATTAATTTGATTATATTTATTATAATATTAAAAGGGATTTATTTAAATGTTATTTATAAAAAATTGTTTTTTTTATTCTTTAATATTATACTGTTAGGTACCTACCTACATTACCATTATCTTGTTGAAGATAAGTCTGATTGTATGTATCTATTTCATTTATTGGCTAAAACGTTTATATAAATTAAGGAAAATTTAATAATTAAGTACAGGTTATAAATATAATATTTTAAGGTTTTTTCTTCGTTCAAATTAATACATGAAAATATAAACATTAAACTGGTAGATTCTAATGAAATTATGTGTATCATCTTAGAATATAAGAGATAAATACCTTAAATGAAATGTCTGATGTAGAACACATATTTTTATTCAAAATTGGCATCAACTCAGTTAAATCCGAGGTTAAATCTGGATTCAACTCTACTCCATGTGCTGTTGAAAGACTAGAAGAACTCTGTGCAGCTGGAACAGGTGCAGCTAAAGAATGAGTTTGAGTCGTTTGAGATGAAGCCATTACATTATAAAAGTCATCATCTAAACACAATTATTTGATTTAAAACAATAACACTTTATAGATAAAATAAATTTAAATTAATAAATTACCATCATAATCATTGCTTTCATCAGATAAATTAACTAATAATGATTTGGAACATGAACTTGGCTGATATTTCTTTTTGTTACTCGGAGGTTCTTGTTCACTTTCAGTAGCAGAGAATTCGATTTCAACTTGTTTGTGCCAAGCCTGTTTGAAATTTACTGTAATAGAAGAAAAAAAAACTAGAATCGAGTGATAAAGAAGTTGACACAAATGTATTACCATATATTTTACCATCCATAATTTTTATTTTAAATGATTGCCATGTTTCTTCTGCATCATCCGCATTCATTAACTCCAAACTGGTTACTTTAAATGGTGGCCATCGACAGTACTGAACTGATGAAATATTAGATTGTGTTAAATCTTCCAGATTAAAGTCTAAGTTGAGCCAATTAATTGGCACAACACTAAAGTCTTTGGTATCGGTAAAAATAGCAACTACCCAACGTTTTAATGATCGACCCTAGGTAGGTAAACAAAAAAGAATGAATTTAAATTTTTATATTGTATCACATTACTATAATTATAATATGAAGAAGGTACCTCCTTACAATGTTGTAAAAAACACTCAAAAAGTAGTTAGTAGTTACCTATACACATACTTCAAAAATTAGGTACCTACGGGGGTACCTATTTGAAATTTCAAAATCCTGTTAAATTATTTTAATGTTTAAATAGATATTGAAGTATTTTACTAAGAAAAGTATTTTAAAACTTGCTGAAGTAATTTTCTCATATACTTGGTATTCTTGTACTCATGCGGTATTTTATATAATGTAAATAATGATGTGATTTATACATTTGTGTATTTTAATGATACCTAAAATAAGTATATAATATATAATATCGATGGCGTAGCGCACAAGTGTGATAAGTGACATTTTCGTAATTGTTCAGGAGAACGATTTTTAAGTTTGAGATGTCATAACAAATTCAAAAATGTAACGAACGGTACAACATCTATCGGAGTAAATAATGAACTATTCACTTACAACGTTTGGGCATAATGTGCAGAATTGTATGATAAAATTGATTATGCACTTAACTCATTTTTCAAAAAAATGTCACTTATCACACTTGTGCGCTACGCCATCGATATGTTCTTTAAGTATTATTAAATATAACATTTTTTTTATTTATTCATATTTTAATTATTTATTAAATTTCATACGATAAACTACAGACTACAGCATTATATTATATTACCTATAGAGTCAACAAATCTGTGATAGACCGCATTCAAAAAGAATACCAGATTGAAATTTACAACACTAGGTAGGTACCTAGGATCAGTACTTAGTACCTACATATTTTTAGTGAAGATATTCCGAACTCAAGATTTTAACAAACAACAATTAATATTTCTCAACAGCAGTGGTGAGGTGAGCTATTTTAACACAGGGAGGGAATATTTTTATCTATCCACCCACCCACCCAAATCTACGCTCGCTGTACATATCAAGGCTTAATGCACAATACATATTATAATATATTCATGTAATACAGTTCACAAAATTATTAAATAATATAATATTTTATGGTTTAAACATATTGACTATTTACCTACTGATTTTAAACGTATTCACAACATATTTGTTAATACCTAATTAGATTATCTACCTATAGTAGCTTATTATTATTTTATATACACATATTTATACATCCATTATTTTAGTAATTCATTACTTCTAGTATTGTCTATGTATAATGTATATTATGTCAAATATTAATACCTACCCACCCAAATTTTGGAAGAGCGGCTGCTCAACAGGGACCTATTATATTATAATATTGTTTATAAACTTACCTTGCGGCATTGCTGGTTAGAAGACATTGTTAGCCCGGTTAGGTACGAAATATTTTGTTTCAAATCACTAAAATCACTTATTATTTATTAAAACAATATGCCAATATATACCTATAGTTAACTGTTGAGTTAGGTTATAAAAGTGCACAGTATACGGTACTACCGTCAGTACAAAACGCGTCGTAGTCGATCAATCGGATGCGTCTCAAAATAATACTAAAGTACTGAATCACATTAATTGTGTAATAATTACACACACAGACACACAGATACAATGGTAAATATTAGTCTCCCGACCGCCCGCAAGTCGCAACCCCCACCAATATAATATTTGTAGCTGTATAACAACCCGACGATTACGCCAAGGGAAAACCTAATAGTTTTATAATATTACCTATATAAGCTATAGCACAATTTCTATTAATAAAGTGCGAGTATTTTTATCGGTGTAAACAAAGCAGTGATAGCCCCAAAATATCTTATTGATATTTCAATGCGATGTTCCCTATAAGTTTATTTTTATACGTTGTAGGTATGTCATATATTTATAATTTAGTGACAATTAAAAATAAACATCTTCAATATGTTTTGTTGACATCGCAATGTGATGTTCCGTATGAATCCCAAAAAATACATCTCATAGATGTTAGTAACATAAAATGTTTAGTGTTTGTACCTACTTTCTACGTATCTGAAATGAAAAAATTTAAATTAATATTTAGTGAAAATGGAAAACGCGTGTACGTTACGTCGGATGGATTTAAATTTTAATTTCACAAGACTATCAAACGATGTTCAACGATGGCGCTGCTCACAAAGATATTGTAAGTGTTTTAAATTTTTAATAAATGTAAATATAATGTATTGATCGACGAGTCATCGTCACTCAATCACGCATGTAATGAAGAAAGTATACTACTTAGACAAGCGATTTGTATAATAGTGCCAAAAGAAAAGGTTTAGAAGATATTTGCGAAAGGCCTTCTAAAATGTTGCATCTTGAATTAAAAAATTATGTTCTCAATTTAACGCAAATGATTGTATTCTAATTCGAAAAAATATTTATAATGCTAGAAAAACTATATACCCCCAAAAGGCCAAAAATTCCGAAAAATATTGACGATGTTCATAATGTACTAAATTATTTAAAACTAACAACGAATCGAGACGAAATTATTTTATTAGTTAATGATAAAGTTAGTATTATTATAATTATCTCCACAGTAGAAAACTTAAAATTGTTGTGCTCGAAAAATATTATTTATGTAGATGAACATTCAAAAATATCCCGAAGATGTTCACTGAAATGTTTACAATCCACACAATGCACAACAACCTTTACGTTCCTTTAATGTTTTGCTTACTCAAAGATAAATGCACTCAAACAGTCAAACATATACACAAACATTTCAGTTATTAGTCGACGAATGTATTAAAATTAATTTAATTTTCAAACCAGAATTCATATATGGAGATTTCGAAAAACAGAAATTTTTACGCAAAATCTGTTTTCGAGAAAATCGATTTTGGTTTTTGGTACAACTCTTAAATGAATGACATGAAATTTTCTTTGGTTGTTTATATTTGCATTTCTATATAAGATACAATTTTCAAAATATTATGATTTGTTTTAAACTGTTTAGGAACATTTTCAGTTTCCAATTTTATTAGTCTATTTTTTTACGAATGTCAATAAAACTTTTTTTGTTGGTTAAAAAAGTTTGAAAAAGTATTAGAAGGCTCCTAGTATTTTGTTTTAAAGGCAGATGTAAAATATTAAAAATCCTTGGTCACAGTTTTTTTTATAAGCATTTAAAGTTCAAAAATTGACAAAATATGGAGAAATCACGAAAATTAACAAATTATTTTGAATTAAGAATTCGTAAAAATTTTTCTTTTTAAATCTTAAGTTTTAATATGTAATACAAGATTCCTTATAAGATTGTCTACCTTTATCATATTATTAAATGTCTTTAAGAAGGTCAAATTAAATTTTTTATGAGCGTTTGAAATTCAAATGTTTACAACATTGGATATTCATTCAATTTTTCATGCAGCGATTTCTTTATTTTGTTGTAATTCAAAAACGAATAACTGTAGATACCTACATGAAAATTTCACTGAATGTTCATATTAGCATTTGCTATCACCATACGATTTTGAAAATATTTTGACTCTTTTTGAGTTGTTAACGGACATTTTCAGTTTTCAATTTTTTTAGTTTATTTTCCTATAAATATCAATAAAGTTTTATCTGTTGGGTCAAAAAGTGTAAAAGTGTAATACAAGGCTCCTGATATACTGATACAATATCAGATGAAAAATATTAAAAATACATAGGCACAATTTTTTTTATTATAAGCATTTAAAGATCAAATTTAAAATTGAATAATTATTTTGTAGTTAAAAATGTATAAAATGTTCAACTTTTTTATTGAAGGATTGAAAATTTAAAACAAGATTCTATGTAAGTAGTTAATTCTTTTACCAAAAAATTTAAAAAATACATACACACAGTTTAATTTTATATTTATTTTAAGTTCAAATTTGGACGAAATTACATAAAAAAAAAATTTAGAATAACTATTTTAGTTATTTTGTTGTGATTGTATAATATTATTCGTTTGTACTTAAAACTTCTAAAGTACACTATTATATATCAATGATGGTATCAGGGTTTGTTGTTGATGTATAACGCGTTATAAGTACCTAATGGATATTTTGATATGATTAATTTGTAATTTATTATAGGTAATTTTTTTTTAATACCATAGATAAGTATATAATATGTCTTGTACCTAGACTGACGTACCGTCTCCGCTCAGAATCGTTTTTCTTATACAATGATATTACATCATTGAATTTAAATTTGCTAAGCTGCATAAAGTCAATATATATATGTAAAAACCTTTTCTCTACCGATCAGAAACAGAAGTTTTCCAATTTACTGCCAACAACACAAAGTGGTCGTAGAAAATAAAAATAATATTTGTTACCAAAACATTGATCTTAATGATTATTGGGTATAACCATTTATTTTATAAACAATTTGTATAATCAATGATATTATGCTTGATGAATTTTGTATTGAAAAGCATCTATCATCTAATCAGAAAATTTTATTGTAATTTCATTGAACTGTATAAAAAAAGACCCATTTAATTAAATATGTTCCTTTGTGTTTATTTATTTTACATAATGTTCCTAACTTTGTACTTTGGCTTCTGTGTTTGAATAATGTTGCAGAAAATACCTTAAGACAATTTGCTTATGGATTAAACTTGATGACATGCATCATTACTGACTTTATTCTTAAAAACATTTAAAAAGAATCCAGTTGACTGACAAATTATATTTGGATACACATTAATTTAATGAACACATGGCTTGGATGTATTATAGGCAGGAATTATCATTTTTCATCGGGTCGCAGTTACGCAACACCAGTTGGTCACCCCTAACCAGTCAATTACCTGTATACCTGCCGTGAAGTATGGCAACGCACCTGCACACAAGTCAGTTGCCAACTACGTTTCTTAACTTGAAAAGGGTATACTAATATACACTTAATGATATATAAGATAGTTATATTTAATTTAACAAAACCTAGAAATTGTAAACAGTGATATTGTCTGGTAATTTCAATTTTAATTGTATAATTAAAGTAATTTTGATTTAAGAAAAAAAACTTTACTCTCGAGGAATCTATCAATATAGTTTTTATTGAAAATGTCCAGTAATTATTGAGTTTAAAGAGGACAAAAAAAGAAACATTCATTTTTATATAACTATACATTAGCTGCATGCCCGTATAACCCGTTATTGTCATGGCTAACATGAATCCGAGATATAGATTAAAAATAAATCAACAATTACTGTAACACCTTGTAAAAATAAATTTTTATTATTTAAAAAAAAAAATATAATAATTACCACATGTAAATGTAATGTATTATATTACATAAAAATATTAAATTACAGAATATAACAAATTTCATAAAATTATTAAATGATAAATAATAATTTAAGAAGTATAATTACATACATTTGTGATTATTGGGTAAACAATAGCTACACAAGTACTAATTTTATAAATTAATTTCTTACTTTGTCATTTATTCCATATGTACTAGACTTGTATAATATACAGATGAAATCAAAGAATAATAAAAAAATGTTTAATGAAGTTGATTAGGTGAAATAAAATAGCAATAAATATAACATTATCTAACAATGAATGTTACTGTATGATAGTTATTGTTACCCAATAATCACAAATGTATGTGATTATATTACTTAAATAATATAATCACAAATGTATGTGATTATATTACTTAAATAATTTAATCATTGCATCATTTTATAATTTACTTTAATTTTAGTACTTTTAATTCAAGTGAAAGTAGATCTGGAATTATACTATTTTGGGAATCCTCATATAATCTTTTTAAATAATTAAAATTTTGTTCGAAAAGCCTCTTTTCATTTTCATAATAACCATGTAGATATTCATTCCAATACTTTTCTCTTTCGAGACGTGCTTCAAGATCTTCATCACTAAAAACACCATAATGCACAATAAGTTCGAGTGTTCTGTAAAATATAATATAAAACATTATTCTAATTAAAGCTTGAATTTAGTACCTATATAAAAATATAAATACTTTTTAGAAATTCTTTCTTCAGGTGATGTTGTGGAGTTCTTAATGTTTACAACAACTGCAAAAATAAGTAAAATATAATTTTGTAAGTTTTATTGAATTCATAAATAATGTAAATTATAAGTAATTGTTTGTATTAGTACATATTTAGTTTAAATAGTAGTCTAGTAAATTTAATGATTAGGTATCTAAAAATTAAGAATTAAGAATTATTGGTATACAAAAATAAAATGAGAATTGTATTTATTTAGAAGTAAGGATTACCTTTAAATATAGGCGGAATAACTTCTACTTTCAGTTTCGAATAGCCAAATGATCTTTTTAATCCCATATTAATATAATGTATTATTGTTTCAGTAGGTACAGCTTGAAATAATGGTTTTTGCAAACTAAAATGTAAAATTATAGAATTAATAATTTCATACTCCCACTCCCACATAGTATAAACTATAAACACATTCACAAGGAGTAAGCACAATGCACCATAGACATACATTGATTAATGAAAAAGCTTGTATTTAAATACTGTATCGAGTGTAGTTGAAATGTATTTAATATCATTAAAAGTTAAAACAATCATAGTATTTATATTTGTATATCTATTTATTTTTATCATTATTATTTGTATTACTCTGTGATTTTTTAGAGATAATAATAAAATAATATATTTCCACCTGATGAATCATACAAATAATAATAGCTTGTTTGGCAAATAAACAATTATATATTTGGAAAACAAATATATTTATGTCTCACAAATGGCTTTACAGTGGCAACTGGCAATCACAATTTATTTAATATTGATTTAAGATATTATACAGTACTCAACACCATGTATAGGTAGATATAATTATTGGTGTTGACCATGGACTAAGAATTGAGATATATTATAATATTATAATATCTTAGTCTGAGGTGTCCACTGTCCAGAGTGACTTAAGAGTGCACTGTTTATCGTCAACAATCAGCTATTCAGCATAGGAAAAATGACAACTAGTCATCTCACTGCTATTCTTTTAAAATGTTAACATATTATGTTAAATTTTACCTGTAAAGCATAAATAAAAATTGGAAAAAACTTGGGAATTCAGAATCATGATAATAACTAATGAATACTCTCAAAATAAATATATTTTTTTTTTTATTGCAACATTTTCAAATTGTAATATCAATTTACTATTAATCAAAATATAGGTATGCTATAAAAAATGGTAAAATTAAAAAATATTTGCTAAAAATTATAAAATCACTAAATACTCAAACATATGCACTATAAATTTTAATATGTTTTTCAGTGTTGTGAAAATAGTTTCAAGGTTACTTAGCAATAAATTGAATAGCCCAATAAAAACATGCAAATGCAAGAAGTTCCAAGGTCATGGGTATTGCTGAACATGGCCGGCCCACTGAATCGTGGACATTCCCCCCCCCCGATATATTTTTGATGCGGACATTTTCCCCCCATTATTTTTGTTAAAGTTTACTATTTAATAACATTATTTTATTATTTAATTCGAAATAATTTTTTTTGGCTATTTGTTTAATATTTTCATAAATACCCAAATATTTAAAAAAAAAATATGAACAAATGCTAAAAAATATGTGTTTAAAAATAACAAAAAAATCAGTAATCAAATGTTTTTTACAAAATGTATCATTTTTATGTCGGAATTTTTGGGCATTTTTATTAATTATTAATTAGATTTTATTTTATACTTATTTTTTTAAAATTTTTTATTGGTTTAAGTAGTTGAATAGATAAACATAATATATAATCTATTAAATTTATGAAAATAAAAAAATGTTTATGTATACATTTTATATTTTCCTTTAAAAAATAATTTCATATTAAATGATGAATAATATTGTATGACTAAATTCAATATTATTAGTCAATAATAAACTTTTTAAAAATGGTGGGGAAATATCCGCATCAAAAGACAAAAATATATCGGGGGGAGAAATGTCCTACTGGACCGAAAATGTCCATTTACCCGGCTCACTACCGTGTGCTCGGATCAATACATTATTAATTATAAGTAGGTATATTATAGTACCTGACTACCTGAGCAAAATAACATGATATAGCCTTATTGTCACAACAATATAATATGGAAAAATAACTTAACCAGGAAGGCTCGTCGGCCGTACCGAAACGGCTCCTATAATAATAAGAGATAAACCAAAACGTCCAAAATACACGTTGGACGACAAACAAGATAGTTTTCAATTCTTACCTCTATTAATGATATAATATATTGCAAGAACGATAATGGCAATAATTATTATTGTCAGGCGATATTCACAATACTTGACTGGACTGTGGTTTAGGACGATTGCACCAGGACACCAAGTAGGTATACAAAAATCACAAGAAAAATACGGAGACGACTGCCCTGCGGTGATACTGACAAAGTGATGGCTATCAGTAAAAATCTAAAACGTGTTGCATTGGCACGTCATTTATTTCCAGCTCCCACCACAACAAATCAAATAGGTAGGTAAGTAAGCACGAGTCAGTTTTTGAAAAATCGCACCCTCCGCCACCGTGGCGGCGCCGTCTAAGTCTAACCGGCAACGTAGTCAGCTGTTGCGCTGTGACGGCAATATCTGGACGTTTCTCATTGGTCCAATTTCAAAACGAACGACAACATTTATATCATAATATTATATTAATATTTAATTAAAATTACAACGATTACGATATATTATAATATACCTATTCATTGTTATTATATCTACTCATATTAATAAATAATTATTTTTTAACGTAGGTATATAATAATGTAACTGAAATCCAAAGATCCACTTTAAATGTTTTATTTATGCAAAGCGTCTAAGCCGTTTTTAATTAGAGATGTGACTACATTATAATCGTTCACTTACGTGAACTAGTTCGTACAATAATCTATTAATTACCTACTGGCTACTACCTAGTATAGGGTGTACCATAAAGTGCTCAATTTTGAAATCTGTCTCCATTTTTCTAAAATTTGGTTGACAGCCCTGTTCTTATCATTTCTAGTAACCACTGTTACTCAGATTAAATTAGTAGTTGTTGATAAGAAATTATAAGAGCAACAAAATATTTAAAAAATGGCGGCAGATTTAAAAGTTGAGCACTTTGTGGGACACCCTATATTTTAAATGTTGATAAATGATAAATCTACTGGAAAATTAATGCAAAAATGTTTATTATAACTTACTGATATGTTAATAACACACGCTCGTTACTCATTAACATAAAACTACTTTAGGTATATGTAATTAAAACTGTAGGTATTTGGTACAAGTAAGAGGTAAATGTACAATTTAAATGAAAACATTTTAATTATTATTTTACTATTATTGTTATTATTGATTTATTAAAGACATATTTTACCTATATTATTTGCATTAGTTCAAAATAGTTATTTCAATTTTCAGCTATCCTTAACCACAAAAAAAAAAATATATTACAGAAATAATTTTTATGTAAGCATTTAAAAATAGTATATGTTCAGTCCCTGCAAAACCATTTATCGTCACACATGCGCATGGCCGTAAATAGGGGGGGGGAGCTAGAAGAGCTTAGCCCTCCTTAAGGTATTTTAATATATAGGTAATCAGGTAATCTTTATTATGGCAGATGAGGTAATAGCATTCACCAAATTGTCATGTCATTGTTTCGAATAAAGAAATTATATCTTAAAATAAATATGAGAGTTGAATGTATATTTGTAGCTATTATATAGGTACTCAAAAACTACTTAACCGATTTTCTGAAAATTTCAAATTGTTCTTAGAGATATCAGGAAAGTTTAAGAGTTTGATCCACGTTCGATTTATACCAAGTGCTTTATATACAATCCATCACAAATTAACTGTCCATCATTATATTTTATTGGCCTAAAAACATGCTTAATTTTTGTCTACCAAGAACTAATTATTGTCGCAATGATAAATTTATAATTAATAACTAATAGTTGCAGTATATGTTACCGCTTAAACCCATGCGAGGATATGCATGAAAATGATGTGTGTTTCATGAAGGAAAAGGATTAAAAAATATAATATTGTTCAATTGATGTATGTACAATAATAATAATAATTAAAATCATTACCCATATAAATCTAAATAATACTAATCCTAAAGCTACCTATCGGCACTATAATTTATCATTGATTTCAGACTCTAGTTAACTTTGTGACAGTCGTGTAAGGGTGTACAAATCTCTATTGTAATTAGTTTAGTTTAGTAAGCACCTACACATTATATTAAAATTAATTTTTTCATTGTATTTCCATTATATTTTTTAATATAAGCAAATTTCTTAAAAAAAAATAAAAGAATTGTGTGGCCAAACGCAGACATGCCAAAAAAATTAAACTAGTGCAAATAGCTCAAGAATTACAAACAATTAGCCTGTATGCAAACAATAAAAATAAAATAATATTAGTTTACATAGTTTTAATTTTTATGTACAATTGTGTTTATAAAATATCTGCTACCTTCCTTATATTTACAATATATGATTTTGTTACCTAATTATAAAAAGGGTTGCAACGATTAGAGTAAAAAATATGAAATTATGAATTAAGTGAGGTGGAATGGACCAATGGTAATTTGATGAAATTTAAGTAGATATGTGGTTGTGAATGAAGCGACCTACAAAACCACTGTAAACATTATCCAAAAATGAAATGCATAATATTTTTAAGTCATTAAATTTGTCGTCAGACATACTGAACAAGATAAATAGAATCACATTAAACACATGGTATGGTATAACCAAGAGAATGAAAATTATTGAGAAATGTAAGACAAATAAAACAAATATATTTGAATTTCACGAAACAACATTACAAGGCATTGATCATGTTTACAACACACACTTTGTAATTTACAGACAGGAGAAGAACTGTCACGGCTAGCTCGAAACAACATAGGAGGTATACAGTTAGAACAATGTTGAGATTTCTTTTCAGTTTTCACTGATGATTTACTCAAAGAATTTAGTTACTAAGCTCAAAAAAATAAAGATGATAACATATTCTTTTATTTTCAGTTTTTTCTCAAAGTTTATTTTATATTTTAGATTCTGAGTGGACCAATGAATGTATTGATTTTATAATGACGTGGGTTTTTTTTTTATTTTTTAATTTTTAACTTTTTTTTTGTGTCTGTCATCACGGTTTGGAGCAGTAAAAGTGCTTCGATTTTCTTCAGGGCCTAAAATTAAGATATTTTGCTACTGCACACCTTAATCCACACCAAAATATTTTAATATAATGCACCTAGTAGTGCACATGCCATATGCCACATATAACTTCATTGCATAATTGTTTTTG